ATTCCGTCGCATTGATAGGACCTGATTTAAAGGGCCGCTTTTGAAATTTTATCTAGTCCCTCTTCGCCAGACGCCCGGCGCGAACGATGCTGGAATGCAGGTGCACATCCAATGTGTTCCAATGTGTATCTGTATACATGTACGTATATGCCGGAAAGCAGGTAGAATATTTTCGAAGATTACCTCTCTGCCGAGGAACGAGCGTGAAGAAATAACACCTGCCATGCGGTACAGTCTGTGAAATCGATGTTGATGATTTATAAGTTGGTAAAGGAAAAAAGATCGAAAAAAAGGAGAGAGAGAGAGAGAGAGAGAGAGAGAGAGAGAGAGAGGGAGCGTTTAACTTGGCATGAATAACGAAACAAAGGGATTTTTAGAAATTTGACTTCTGAAATCATGCGATTTTCGTCTCGAGAGAATGCATCCTCAAACTTGTACCCGTTGCGTTGCCAACAATATCTCAGTCACACAAACTAAAAGTAAGATAACATCATGTTACAATTTCGTACTCAACATAAATGTAATGTAATAAAACACATGATGTTACATAACATTTTGAGTGTAAGAAGTGTAACAAAATAAAACTCTCTAGTATTAACAATAAATAAGGAAAAATACATTGGCAATGACAGTCAAGTACAGTAATTAGAACGCAACAAAATATTCATTATCAATGATTTATTAATATTTTGATTTTTTGTTGACTTGTGTTCTTTGGACATCATGAAAAAGTCTTCGAGACAATGTGTGTTGTCTGGAAAGCTACCTATTTTTGTCTACAGAATTACTAACAAGAGAAGCGTGTTTTTCGCTGTCGACACGCGTAGATGCGTCGATGGGAATTATGCAGAAATTATGCCGTTGCTTTCCACTTGATGATCATAAAAGTATTAACGCTTCCTTGGATTTATAGCATTTAGTTAACGTTACACATTGAGCCTAGTGTTTTCCGCTAAAAAGTCAAACGGCCGGGAAGTCTCACTGGAAACTCCACAAAAGATCAGGATTGTTAGGAATTTTTTTGTGAATGTCGAGATATACGCTAAAGATATCAGAAAAAAATCCAGATTTGTATCTGTCAACTCGGAAAAGCGGCAAGAATATTTTCGTCGCTATCATGAAATCCATTTGAATCTCTAATCTCTGAAATCGTAAATTATAAACGATAATTTATGAATGTTGTAGTTTCACTGTATAACTTTTAAAAAATATTTTTATATTTTTTTAAAACTATAATATATTCTCTTCGAGAAATTTATTAAAAAAATTAATTTGCTTATACTTAAATAAATTTACTTTACATTTAATAAATTTATTTATATTTATACTAAAATGCACATCTCGAAGAGAATATATTACAGTTTTAAAAAATATAAAAATATTTTTTTCACATATATTACTTGTACTTTTTGCATTCAGAATCTTCGCTTTCTCTTTCTTCAATGTTCGAGTATTTATTTTGTTATTTTAGTAGTTATTTTTTAAAATGTAAAAATTTGAAATGAGTTCAAACAACAGTACAGATTCTAATATAACAGTAATATACAGTAAACAGATTCTAATATAACAGATTCTAATATTTAATGAGATTGCGCTCAGAAATTTCGGGAGCTAAGTCTCATTTTATTCTTGTAATATTCGGTGAATGATAAGAATAAAAAAAGAAATAAATAAAGATATTTGATTGCACTAAGTTTGCCAGATGTCCAGGATTTCCGAGAATTTCCTGAAATTTGTCAGCTACTAATCTCGTATCTAATAATTGAAGTTTTTTTATCCCCGAAACGTATAATTTTAATTTCTTACTTTAATTTCTTTAACTCAAAAAAAAACTTATATCAAAGATTTAATACAAAATTATGTGATTCACACACGGTCGAGCGCGTTCACAGCACTGTGTTATGCTTTGTGTGTTTTAACATCACTGCCATATACATATAGACTAAAGAAAAAAGTATATGTCCATGGATTTAATTAAAGCAGAAAGGAAATACAGATTCGCATTAATTAAGTCTTGTTCAGATATTTTATCATTTTTTAATAGATTCGTGATAAATTAATAAAATTTAATTGGGTTAACTATTAAATAAATAACTAATAGATTGAAAGAATTTTTATTTAAGTTATTTTTTAATTTAATTTTGTTTAAAGACTTTGCTTAAAGACTAGGATGTTTTTCTAAATCTTTCAAGAGAAAAAAAAACAAATTTGAACAAAATTACACATCCCAGTTTTCACCTTTCTACCTTAAAAAAATATTATATCAATTTAAAATGTTATCATAAAAAAATGATCGACAGTTTATAAGAAAATACTAACTAAAAATTTAACTCAAATATTTAATCTATTTTTTAATCATCGCCTCAAACATGTTCTGAAAATGTTGATATTAGATTTGATAATCCTCGTGCACTTACGTGAAGTTTTTTGCACAAAGCTTAAATGTAAATTAAAAATCAAAATAAAATTAATTTATTTTTTAATTTAATTTTTAATTTAATTTACATTTTTATAAAATGTAAATATAAAGAATAAAAAGCGGAAACAAATTCGTTATCTCAATTTATATTTCGCGAATCAAATTACAAATCAGTCAGAATCTGCATCTATAATCATGTCATTTCCTTGATTTTGTTTTGGGCCGATCGCGTATAGGGCCTGAACGAGCCGCGGGACCCTAGGTCGTGCCGACCTCGCAGGTCCTCCCACGTTTTCGTAGCTCACGCTTTAACCCTCTCTCTTCGCGAGCCAATCGGGAGATCGCGTCATCATTTCAGCAGTTCCCGCGCTGGGCCTCACGGGGGCCCGGCGTCATCTGCAATCACTTTAAGAATCAAATCCCGCGAGCGGCCGCCATGTTGTTAGTACGTAACTCCGAATTGCTCCGAACACAACTCGTGCAGGTCGAGGCCCATATGAGTATCGACGAAACATCGACATCGACCTGGTGAATCACTCACCGTCAATGTTGGTAAACTCGTAACGAGTGAGTTTTAATAATGAGTTCTAAAAGTCATGATCATCGGATACTTCAGCAAAATCATTGCATTAATCGGTCCTGCAGGGAATTAAAAATTGATCGTTATGAGAGAGCTATCAAGAATAATTTGAATTACACAGGTAAAATAAAATTACAAGGATATAACTACATTGAATCGTAAAATAATAAGAGATTCGTGAATTAATTATATTTATTAATACTCATAACAAGCGTTAGAAATTAACAGAAAAATGAACCTATTTATTGGCACAATATTTGCATAATATTAATCTAATATTGGCTCAATATATCCCAACGTTTACTCAATTAACGTATCACCAATAAATTGTTAAATAAGAGCAAGAAGAGGATTCTGCAATTTTGCCAAACTTCGAAAATAATAAAAGTAATAGATATCATCAGAAAAGGAACGACAATAATAACGATCGTATGAGGAAGACACATTGCGTAAGCAGATTGTTGAAGATACGTCAACGCGGGCCCAGGCGGATGAAGACGGCACTGGGCATCCCGTGAAATGCGGCCCGCCGGCGAGAAAAACGGGGACCCGGCGCGCGGCGGCCGTCGAGGAGCGAGCGGGCCAGGGCATTGCCAGCACGGAGTGCAGCCACGCCGGTTGTGTCGTGGCGACCGCTAAGTTGTACTCGCGAGTACGGAGGTCCCCGGACATGCGCCCGAACTTCGACGAGCTCGACGCACAGATCGGGTGACAGCGCGGAATGCGCATCTCCTATGAGGCCGCGGGCCAGCCAGGGCGTGCAGGGGGACAAAGGGGAACAGGGAGCGAAAGCCAGGTGGAACGACGACGGCGACGGCGTCTCGCGGACACGTAGCAGGCTTCCTTCCGTCGACTCGACATCTTTCGCGCCGTTTGCGACGGGACGGTGACAGGCTATACGGATCGGAATTGTTCCGGTCTCTGAATGTTCGATCTGTGTTTCTGGAAGCCAAGGTGACAAGATAGTGCTTGGACAGGGTGATGTGTGTTTGTTTTTCTTGTGAAGCAAGAAGGTGAGGCACGTGAAGGTGTGACGCACATCCTGCAAATCCAAGTGTGTAAAAAATGACTTCAATTATATACCTATGATATTTAGTTTTCCATGTAAAAATGACACTATACACATTTAAATGTTAAACAAAGTATTTAAGATATCATAATGTGAGATTATAATGTGAATGTACGACAAATAGAAAATAAAAGTCCTAAACGATCAATCTTTAGTGCTTAAATAATTCAATTTGAATTTATATATTTATATCTAATCCTGTAAACTTCGAATTTAATTTTCAGTCTTGAATCGCAATTATTCTAATAGAACTGGAATAGTAATATCAATTATTAAATTGACAAGCAATTTAATAATATTGTTGCTCATGAACATCTTAGAAAGATCTTAATAATATGATGCTGATCTTAAAACCTATTAATAATTTTAAATATGTTGATTCATATTTGTATATAATCTAATGTATTATTTTTACACGGAAAACTAATACATATATTGAAGCCACTTTTTACACGCTTGGATTTGTAGTGCAAATGCTGATAAAAAGGGACTACAAACTTGATCTTCATTCAACAGTATTTGTGCATCCGAAATGAAGGTGAAAAACGCGCTGCTAATAGACAAAAATTGGTATATCTTTGCTACGAACAATAAGAGCGGAATGTATCTTTTAACGAAAACCAAATTAGTATGATATTCGCCTCACTGGAATCTGTGGTATATGGAAAATAGCGAAAGAAAGAGAAGGGAACCATATGAGCGTTGCGAGAGGAGAATTGATACGACAATTCGTGCTTCGCTTACTCACGGTACACTTGAAGCGAAGGGCACCCAAGCTATAGAGAGACGGGAGACGCGTAGACCGTTGATAGAGGGGACTCGGTGTTACTGCGGGGATTAATGGTATGAGAGACTGGTATGTCAATTGTGAACAGCATGCTGCTTAAGTTATACGCGAAGGCCACGATTGTGCGACTGTTACAACGCTGACGCGTATAGAGTCGAGCATTGCGGTAATAGTAGTCTCGAAAGTGAGCAGCACTTATACAAGAACGTACTCACTGAATATATCCGGACATTCGACGAACGTTAGTGAATGCTCTAATAATTGCTTTCATTTACGATGATCTATTTAACTCCGGGATGTTAATGCGATTTAACATGATGTTCTTTCAGAGTGCATTGTGAATTGGTACAATTTCTTGGAAAATACGGATGTGAATGACCCAATCGCAACTTCAGAAACGACTAGCGTCCAATTTCTTCATCTCCTGTTGATCGTTGGATAAAGTTACCTGGATCATAATTGCTGCTCTGTCTTTTCTAAGCTACGGTTTGTAATATGCGGATAGAAAGTTGAGATTAACTAACGTTAAAAAAAAACGGACTGTAAGTGTCAATCATAACAAGTGATGTGATTCTCGCTAGACGAGACTCTTTCATAAGATTTGCCGCTGGCAACAGGTGCATTCAGAAGAAGAAGCGCGCGAAAGAAGGCGAATACGAGGAAGAGAAGGAAGAAGAGGAAGAGAAGGAAAACGCAGAAATCGGCCGTCGAAAGAGTAGCGCGCGAGCAAGGTCCCTACGGCGATAAGGCGAGGCCCGGGTGTCAGTGGAGGGAACGTATGTATCGCGCGGGGCCGGTCGCGCGGACCGGGCCCGCCGCCGCCACTGCCACTCGTGAAAGATCGCGCGCTGACCCAGATTTCGGCGGGTCAAACCGACGCGAGGAGGCTGCGGCGGACTTTCTGAAATGGGACACGGCACAGCCTGGAGCTAAATTAGCCGCGATGTCCAATAAGAGTAAGTCCCAGTCGCAGCAGCAGCAGCAGCCGCAGCCGCAGCATTATCAGCAGCAACAGCAGCAGCAGCAGCAGCATTCTCCGCACGTGATCAAGCCAGTGGACCAACTGCCGCCGCGCTATCAGCCCCCGCCGCAACCTACCAGCGGCATCCTGAAGAACCATCTACACTTCACCAACGGAGGTACATCGGCTCAGACTGGCAGTAATCAAGGTCCGGGCGCGGCCTTGAACCATCATCAGACCACGCAGCCGCGCACGTTGCCGCCACCTCCGCCGTCTTCGCAGCAGCATCAATCGCAGCAGCCAATTCAATTGCAGCAGCAATCGCAGCAGCAACCACCATCGAAGGATGCGCAGAGCAAGTACTCGCCGAGGATAGAGCATCATCATCATCATCATCCCCAACCGGGTAATCCGCTGATCGCTGCCGCGTCGGCGGCAGCGTCTAAGAGTCAACAACAACCACAGTCATCTACCTACCTCCAACAGCCTAAACTCGCCCAAGGTCAGTACTTGCCACCCAGCAGTCAGTATCCGGCGGTGAACAACGGACAAAGTGCGCCGGTCAGGCAGAGGATCAGCGACGACGAATTTCTGCGACTCGGCCCCGTGGAGATGCTTAAGTTCGTGCGGAAGACTGAGAGTGATATAGCTAGGCTTGCCGCCGAGCAGAATCGCCAGATACAGAACTTGGTGAGTTCTCCTTGGTGAATTCTGTAAGTTTGTGTAACATAAATGACCGAAAAATTAACGATTTAATCATACAAGTTCATACATGATATCGGACTTGGAACTCAATAATAACTCAGTAGTATAATTTGAAAAGTTTTCTGTTGTAATTATCTATGTGATATATAAATTTTACCTTTATAATTATTTGAATATAAATTTAAACTAAGAGTTTCTGAATTTTTAAAATTATTAATATTATTCGTATACTTTTAGGAGACCTAAATTAATAACCTGTTGAACTCTACTTAAAATGTACAAAACTGTAAAATGCAATCTAAATAATTCTTTATACGTATCGTTTTATTTTTATTTTGAATTTTGTTTTTATATAACGGTTTGCGATAAATCCACTACAATTTCTAATCATTAACCAGGAAATTACAAATAGAACCTGTCTTGCAAAGAACCAGAAAATCTTGTGTTTTTTTTAAGAGGTCGTGATATACATAACTCATCAATAAAATATCAATAAAACGTTATGTTAACAATATTTTATTACATCTTCGAGATGTAGGATGCTGTTTGCTGTCCTTGAAATCTTTAGCACGTTATACGGAAGTTTTTGAGGGGCTCTTGTAGGTCATACACAGATTGAACCGATCGTCGTAATTTCAAACAGTCACGCATACATGAGATAAACCGCAAACGATCACATGGACAATCGGTTTCCTCTGGCCAGCAAAATGCTTGCCAAAAGTACGTAGTCGGAATTGGTCACGCATGACTCGCACACGTGTGATGAATAGGTGAAAGGCTTTTTCTCAACAATCGGCGTGTACCACGGTGCGAATGCGTCATCTGCGGCGATCAATGACTCTGTTATTTCTCTCACTACAGGCACGCGAATTAATAATACAAAACATATTCGGCTATAGAAGATATATCAGTACCACCTGTAAAAAAATCTAGATTTAAAAAAACAATATATTTGAATAGCTATTTATAGTTATAAATCCTTTAAATAGATTTTAAATAGTTATTTACGATAACAAATTTTGATTCAATTTACAATCGATTACAAAAGATATTCAGCTGAATGGAAAATCATTATCATCTATAAAAATATAAATACAAAAGACTAGAATATATTTAAATAATTAAATGATTATAAATTTTTTGAATAATTATTTGAAATTATTATTTATGATAATAAACTTTGTTATAATTTGCAATCAATTAACAAAATAATCCAAATATTCTCGATAGTTTTCGTATATCTAAATCCATTTGTATACGTGTTTATAGACATTGTGTATAATAATACAAAATTTGAAAGAAGAATGAACTTTAAGAAACATAAAACGAGCGCGACTTAACAAAGCTATCTACTTTCCAGCTGAATGAGCTGCGGTTGCTGAAAGAAGCCAACCAAAGACTGAACGACGATAACCAGGAATTGCGCGATCTTTGCTGCTTTTTGGACGATGACCGTCAAAAAGGTCGCAAGCTGGCGAGAGAGTGGCAGAGGTTTGGCCGATATACAGTGAGCGTTATGCGACAGGAAGTCTCGGCTTACCAGAATAAGTTACGTCAACTGGACAATAAACAGCAAGAATTAATTAAAGACAATCTGGAGCTCAAGGAGCTGTGCCTATATCTCGATGAAGAACGTGGTGGTGGTCAAAGGGACGACGGCGACGGGTCGAGTTCGAGCACGAATGCCGAAGAGACTGCGCCGCCGAGGCCGAGGCACACTTCCACATTTAACGGTATAATCTAGTAAAAAATGCAGACCTCTTTCTCTCCCTCTTGTATTAAATCAATAAATGCAAACATTTCTTTTATGCGGAAGGAAATATGCTAAAATGTAATATTAATTTAATTTAATATTAGAAGAATATAATAATCATAATTTGAAAAAAATGAAAGCTTCATAGAAAATGAAATCTTTTCTTAAACATCGCTACCTATGTTTATAATATTAGAATGATACATGATAAATGAATACTGTGCAAATAAGTATTTACTATCATCAAATAAAGAATATGCGTAATCATATATGTGAAAGTATACGTTACAGTTATTATTTTAATGATCTTCTGATATTCCGGAATGATGCAGTTGCGAATCTCTTGCAGACCAAACAATGCAATACGTAAGGAGCTTAGAGCAACGGGTGAAGCAATTGGAAGAAGACAAGAGTTTTCTCCAGGCCAGAGCGCAAGGTTGGGAAGTGCTACCATCGGGTGAAGTTTGGGATAGTTCCGCGAGCCCGAACGACAATACTCACTTAGGAAGCCGACCAGAGGCTGTAGTGCGTGCTCTCCAAGTTCTCGAGGTCAGAGAACAACTGGAAAGAGAAGAAGGTCATGATGGTGAAAAGGCGTTAGTTAGAGAAATGTGCAATGTAAGTAAAGTGCCATTCCTCGATTAACACGTAATCATTACGACATGGTCTCACTTTGAAAAAATATCTTTCAAATAGAAAAGGAATCTTCTTGAAATACGATTATTTTATGATGATTCGCGTAAAACTCCCTCAAAAAAACTTCCTTTTTTCGTGAAACAAGTGATATAACATGTTCATTATGTTAATTAATGTCTTTTCCTTTCCAGGTCGTCTGGCGGAAATTGGAAGAAGGTCCGCAAGCAAGGCATTAATGATTGTGCCGGAAGAACAATTATGGATTAATTTTAGAGCGCTGTTAATCTGTAACAATAAGCTCTAACATACACGACGTAAAGATAGTATATATATTATAGTGAATAATACGCCTGCTCTTTATTGCTGCACTAAACTGCACTAATTGTAAGACTTTCTATCTCGATTTCGCCAAACTTTAAATATATATCTATTTCGTTTTAAGTATAACATAAAGTGCATATTAGTTCAGCAACAAAGAACAGACTTGCCTTGGTGAAAATTTTTAGAATTTTTCTTTATATAATTATTCAGAATTTTTATATAAAGTTCAGATTTTCTATAATTTTATAACTTTCTAGAAAATTTCTCAGATTTTTTTATACAAATTAGAATACTTTTCAGAAGTTCTGAGAAAATCCACATCTTTTCTAAAATTATTCATATATGAATTCTAACATATTCTAAGATTTCTAAGATTTTCTCATTCTATATAATTTTTGAAAAAAACTTGTAAAATCTGAAAAAGTTTAAGACATTTTTTCAGCAATTTTTATAAACTTAAAATATGATAAATTCTGAAATATAGAGAAATTATGAGACATTCTTTCTTCACCAGGGTAATGTAAACGATATTTTAAGTAGATTTTTATACAATTGTACAAAAAATAATTTCGATATGAGAATACTGATAGTATCTATTTATGTAAATGTAGTTTTCGCAGATTGTCTATTAACAAAATATTTTTACTATATAATGCTTTTGATTTATTCGTTGTTGATTTCACTCTTTTCCTTCATCTTTTTCATCAAAAATTTGTTGTAAATACTTTGAGAAGCAATATAAATTATTTTATAAATAACTTTCATATCTTTTCTAACATTCCAATTGTAATGAAATTTCCAAAATTAGACTTACAGTATTTTCGAAATACGATTCACTTTTTTAATTGGCAAAATTGGGGATATCGGTAATCCGTAAAGTCGTAATTTAACATCCACCTTTTTCGCAAACACCATAAGCCAGGTAATTATCCACCGCGTGGAGTCACCGCTTTTCACGAAAAGACATCCCTTCGGTGAAATTCACACTATGAATACGCAAGCGAGTGTTTATATTTCTATTTTTATCTCATCAAAGGATTTGCTTTCAATGGTGCGGGCGTTGGATTGCCCCACATACATCTCGGCTACCTACTACGTCGTCTAGTACCATCATGTCAATACGAGGCAATTAGGATATTTTCCAATCTAGCTCCGATCAATTTTATCTCCTTCGCTGTTTACTATATCTCTCGCACAAACTTAAAAACACTCGGAAATTAAAATCTTAGGTAATTATTTACACCAAAGCTATCTACATGACAAAATTAATGGAGTAACATTTTTTTTTAGCAAAGAAAATTAATTGGCTACAGCAATATTCTCTAATTAATCGTTTATAAATCTTATTTGTCTGTATACGTTGAAAAGGAAATATTCTTTGAACTGTTCATCTTGCATCTCTGTATTTCTTCGTGGCCGACGAGCTTGCGCTGTACCGGATGTAAAACACGGTGGGGATCGCACGCAGCAGCCACCGGCTGTCGGAAAGATGAGTCGCCGGTGATGTGCTTGTGCGGAGGCCTCGCGGAGGACAACGCCAGGATTATCCTCCTTGCCGTTGTCCTGGCAGCGTACATGCTCGCAGGCGCGGCACTCTTTCAAAGGCTGGAAAGTGATTTCGAGATACGACAGGTACAAAAAATGTATCCGGACATATATATATAAAATTACTCTTACTTCCGCTATAATTCGTACAAGAAATGTAAAGTATCATGTAAAGGAATCATAGATCGAAAAAATGTGTCTCTTAAATTAAAATTAAGAGATTACAGTGATCTTCATATGAAGAAAATTGAAATTTTTCTTTTTAAATTATCGTAATTCACATCAAATGAATCAATGAATTTTGTATGTACTTTTGTGATCGATAAATATACTATTATTATGAAATATACAAATCAGAATTGAAGAATTATATTCAATCTGATTATAGAATTATATTATATTTAATCAGAGTATAAATCACCTGATTTTTTTTACGTAAACGATCTAATAATCATCTTGGGTGTTTTTACATCCTAATTAGTATTTGCAAGTTTTCGAAGAAATTGCTTATTTAAAAGCTAGTAAAGAATAGTTATTAAATAATATGTTAAAATATCCATTCAAAACAATATTTTAAAACAGAAAACAACAATAATATGAAAGCTTAGGAATCGGCGCGATAAACGGAATGCAATAAATTACAATACAAAAATTCATTTAATAATTCAATTAAAAATTTATTCATAAACTGTACATTTCAAACAGTGAATTTATGAATTTTTGTATTAATTTATTATCCTCCGTTTACCGCGCTGACTTTTTTAACGGCCCTCACTTTATTGTCGTTTTTTATTGCATTTAAATCAGGAGTTTTTCAATGTTTTTAAATCTGACGTCTCTATAATTTTACGATTATTTTTTCATTGTTATTTAATACTTTACAACAATTCATATTTTTTAGTTGCTGAAGTATAAAGATATCCAAGTGAATTATTTCCGTGAATACAGATAATTTTTATATTTATTGATACTTTTTGGGGATGCGCATAGGCGACAGAATTCTGGCGAGTCTATCACGCGTTTCGGAAGCACCACCTGCGAGGTAACCCCTTGGCCTTGCAGAGGCTGCACGAGCTGTTATATGCCTATGGCAACGCTTCCGCTACCGGTATCATTAACAAGAGACGCCGCTGGGACTTTCCCGGTAGCTTTCACTTCGTTGGCACCATAGTTTCTACGATCGGTAAGAAACATAGTACAATATACTATAATGGGAATGCCAATTACTAATCATATCTGTATCCATAACATGGCCAAGAGAGTATTGGGGTCAGTGGGATTTACCGGATTTATGTCGAGCACTTTGCTCCCTCGCATTTTTTTCTTTGTTCTCATGATATCGCGAAACAAATTAACTTTCAAGAAGACATTCTTACCCGATTCCGCGCTCGAGATCTTAATATCTGTAAAAGTCAAAAATTTTTTATTGCAATTCTTATTAATTTTAATCAATATTCATAAGTGAATTTAGCGGATTAAATTTAAATTATGTAATCTTATTTCTCTCGGATTTTTTATCTTTAAAATGAAAAAAAAATTGTATGATCTTCGATTATACTCTGGAATAAAATTATCATTTATATAACATAAATAAAAAAATAAAGAGGCTATCGTACTTCAATATAATTGCTCTTTCTTTTTTATTTCTTAGTATTCTTCGAATACTAATAACTTCGCCGTGTGTACCGTGTATTTATACACTATAGAGAAAAGTTTTGTCGAGGTGATCGCATTCCTCGGCAAAACTTGGTCATAATGACGTTAAGTAAAGGGATAAGGGTCGTCGGCCGGTGCATAAGAATGTTCTGGTGAATTCCGGAATGCTAATATCTCGCGACCTAGTCTTGCACTTATCCACACGACTCTGGCTTGTCCTTTGGTCGTCGATCTCTATATATGTGTGTATTCGTCGCCGTGTAATATACTTCTGAAATGAAAGAAGCGTGATACTGAAATTAAATTTGTAGGGTACGGAAGCACTGCACCTCAGACAACGGCGGGTAAAGCGGCAGTCATTCTTTATGGTTTCTTCGGTTGTTCCGGTAAAAAATCCACTTATCTATTTATACTTAATAACAAAAAGACATCAAAAAAAAGATATCTAAAAAAAATCATAAATAACAATATTAAAAGATATCTAAAAAAAAAATCATAAGTAACGATATTAAAAATAATCTGTAACAATACAAAATAACATTTCACGAATCTAGAATGAAAACTTAAATACATTACATAGGCTTAGTTTCACTTATATAAGATTAATTTCGATCTCGGTTCAACGGTTTACTTTACGTATACAAAAATATAAGTAATAAATTAAACCGAGATTAAAGTTAATCTTACATGGAACAGGGCTTTAATGAAGTTACTTGATCCTAACATTAAGTAATAATTTAGGCGGCATCTTGTTCTTCAATCTTTTTTTGGAGAGAATTATTACTCTCCTGGCGTGGATCTTGCGCAGCTGGCATGTACGTCGATTAAGAAGACGTCTCCGCAAGACTACATTGACATCTCGACGGATCCCTAAACCGTCGAGCACCCAGAGATGTTCTCTGCCGGATATCCTTGACGATGACGATGACCATGTAAACCTGGATCAATGGAAACCGAGCGTATACTGGGTCATGTTCTATTTATCCGTCACCTCTTGCATCATCGCCTGTTGTGCCGCTGCACTTTACGCGCCGCTGGAGGGCTGGAATTACTTCGACGCATTGTACTTTGCCTTCGTGAGCTTCACCACTATCGGCTTCGGCGACTTCGTTAGCACGCAACAGCCAAACTATCCTTACGTACATTGGTAAGATTGCGAAGATTGTTTCGCCAAAATCGAATTCGTAATAATTTATTCAAGGCGCAAATTTGAATTTCTGTAAACTAAACTTTCAATGAGAGATTCTAGTAAATTTTCTTTAACTAAGACGCGCCAGTATTTTCGCATTAAAGCTTTGAAAACGCAAACAAATGCAGCAGTTTTATTCTTCATTTATGCAGGTATAGATTCACGAATTTTGTTTTCCTCGTGATGGGATGTTGCTGTATATACTCCTTGCTGAATGTCACATCGATCGTAATAAAACAGGGCTTGAATTACGTGATACATAAATTACAATATGGTAATCGGAATGTAGCAGCGCCGTATTTACCAAGGAGACAGTCCTCCGTATCAACCGTATACTATTCGAAGAGGAGGCCGAATAGGCTTGTTGGTAGAGATTCGATCAGAGCGCAAGATAACTCAGAGACGCCTCGCAGGATGTCGGGCGAACTGGTCTCCATGAAGGAATTCCTGTCCGCGAATAAAGTTCCTTTGGCTGTGATGCAGAAGCAATTGTATGACGCCGCACAAAAACAAAAGAGTGGAGGATCGCTCGCTGCCACGCCAAATCACCAGGTGTTGAAGCCCGGAGCGGTGGGTCCGCTTGCGATTGCCAGCGAAAAATTTGAAAGTAAAAGCACGATAAACAGATAGAAAAATTACGGCATAACAGAGGCTACAGAAAATATGTAAAAGTGCAGTACATTTGTATCAATCATATTTTTCATGATGTTCATCTCGTAAACATTTGCCAATTTTTAAAGTAAATTTGTCGACATTATGTGTACTATGTTGCCTAAAAATTATTAATATAGAAATTAATCATGATATTCTTGTGAACTTGTTCCTGCAATTCTTTTATATCTCTAATTTGCTTTATGATATTGCGACTGTTAATGTTGAATACAATAAATGATATTATTGTCTCGTATCGCTCATCGAATAACTTTATTTAAGTCATGTTTACAGTACAATCCTCCATGTACTCAACGACATCGACAAACATGCAATCTCTTGTTTTTCGTAATTGCGACAATGTACGTCGTGTATATACCGCGTCGTGTAAAATAAATTCAACATCGTCATCGTGTTTCATCAGTGAATTTCTCTTGAGTGTGAAAATCGTTTGTGCGGATTTTATTTACGACACACACACCAATCGGATAGGATTTTACGAGAGGGCACAATTATCCGAATTCAGACACGTTGCGGAATATACAATCTTTGGACAATCTTTGCGGAAACTCTTGATGTACGTGTGCTTACGTGTGAGTGAACGCGCGGCGGAAATACACAGCTTAAAATACACGTACGTTGCTCCTGTTGTTCGTAAAATCACAAGGACGAACGTCCCTTTGGCTACGTAACTATAGTACTGTGCGTCAATTTAAACCGGACATCTCGAGTCGACGATTCAAACGAGCTCTCGGCTGTGACGACTAGATTCATACGTGGATGAGACCAGCGATTACGAAACGATTACGTGAAAACAGTATGTTCCGTTGAAGATCTAAGAACGCATGTTACTTGTATATTATTCTAAAATGAGAACGTGGACGCAAGCGTTTACGAGAATTACGATCTTGGAATTACGATAGAGAAAGAGAGAAAGAGCAAAAAGTGAAATGGACGATTCCTTACAGAGATCGCAAGCTTTCACGTAATCTACAGACAATCGCTCGCCATTAAGTGAAGCCAAATACGTTGCGAATAATAAATCGTTAACATTACTCGTCCAATCACCGTCGTACGGAAGAAGCCACGCTGATTTAAGACGCAGCGGACCCATCCATTGCCAGATTTAAACCGACTTTTTTAACATCTCTTTAAACTCGTCATTTAAATTTCGTCCATCTACTTCATACTCGAATGACATCGGATTTTTAAAGTAAAACTACCAGGCCTAGCGCAAGTGGCGTGCCGATAGTATCAGGACTTGTTCTACCTTTTTTTTTCTTTTTCTCTTTACGGTACTCTTAATACTTTGAGAAAAGCTTTCAACAATTGTACGAGACTACAATGTTCTCCGTCGCAAGTAGATTTGAGCCTCGTTGGTTTTCAGTCAACGTTTTTACTCGTTTCTCTTTTTTTTTCCGAGACTCGGGCAAAGTTTCTTAAAACTGTGTGCTTCGTTTCCAACAAATCCGCCAAAGCCATTAGTTATCATCAGTAATCGTCGTCATTGTCGATCAATCAACGTGTACAATCAACAAAACAGCGCCGAGTGTTTCGCACCGACGCTGACAAAGCCGTGTATATTCCCAAATATTCTCGGGCGATACGCTTCGTCGCTTCGTCTAGGCGACGTCGCCTCGATTTTGGTAACGGCAGCAAAAAAACGCAGCCTATCTCGACTGCGTACAAAGATCGCGAGATTCATATCTCGATAAATTGGCGACGCTCATCCCCTCTATGAGGATGCCGCGTTTTTCCTCAACGTATGTCGCGCATACGTACAAACTGTTGACCGATCATTTCCAGACCACCATTGCCTATCAGATCAACGTCGTTCGTTAGTTTGATTATTTTCTGTTTCAGGAAATCTCCATCGCATCCTTGTATATAATCGGATATCACAAAGTTGTTATCGTTCAGCATGGGTGGTTGATTTTGATTTTGTGGCGGCCGATTTCGCGATCGCGGTACTTGATCCGCCGGCTCCATCAGATGCGCGTGTTTCTTGCGTTGATGTTGCAATAGTTTTGCCTTGAATAAAATATATATTTATTAACTTCTGCCGATTATTAATTAATAAATATAATCGAGCCTTATATAAAATAAAATTCACCTTGCTGGCGTATTGTTTATGACACCATTGGCAACTTTGAGGACTAGTCGTGATGCTGCCTACTGTTTGGCTGAAGCTTGGGTTCGGCAGTCCTGAGAATTCGGATTCTTCTTGTCGGTTACTAGGCGGCAAGGCCGCGCCAGGATGGTTCTTCATGATATGTGCTTTACGCTTGCTGCTACTTTTATAAACCTTAAAAAATATAATAATACATTAAAAAATACGTTAATTTTATCTCTACTTAAAAACATTTTATTTCGTGATGATACCTTATCGCAATACTGGCAATAGTAATCTCTGGTTTGTCGCAAAATAGGCAAATTCAATTCTGGCACAGATTCGGGAGCGACATCGGGATGCCGCTTCGCTAAATGATTCACCAGCATTCCTCTTCGTTTGAAACCCACCAGGCATTGATGACATTTGTAAATGAAGCGATTGTAATCACTCGGATTTATCTATTAATAAAATGAAGTAATGTATAATCAATCACATATTTTTTACTTTGACATACCTTTGGCACAAATTTCTTTGCCTGATTATTCTGTGTCATTTGTTCTCCATTAACCGTTTGAGAATGATGTATTTTAGTCATGTGCTCCTTTAATTTATCTTTCCTTTTGAATCGTTTACCGCAGTTCGCACAATGAAATTCTCTGAACAAACAAAAGTTAATTAAATTTTCACGTACCTTATTAACATGATCGACAAATAGTCGAATTAAAATTGTACCTGTGATCGGAGTGCTTCAACAGATGCATTCGCAATTTGTCGACTGTCGGAAAACGTTTCGCACAATGCTGACACTTGTGCTTCCTTTCGCAATGATGTGCCCGAATGTGTTTGCGAATGACAGAATACTTGATGAACGTTCGCTGGCAGTGAGGGCAACTAAATATACCATCTTGATTTCTATGTGTCTCAACGTGATCCTTTAGCATCGTACCTTGGCGAAATAGCTGTCTGCACATTGGGCATTCAAAGACCTGTTTGTTTTCTGCAAATACAGAATTATCATAGCATAGCAATTGATATCAGAAGCTTGTTCTTTTTAGCTGAATTCGCACGGTTCAATTTTTCTTTTTTTTTTACATTGAAGAGAAAAAAATAAAAAACTGTGCACCTCAGATTGTTTAATCCTTATTGATTCATTATAGATTTACCTTTATGCGTTTTCAAATGACCGGACAATGCGGAATTGTTCATAAATCGTTTCAAGCAAATACTGCATGGCAGTGGTTTTTGGTCCTCAGCACCATGCGCCAAACAGTGCTGTTGTAATCGTATCTTTGTAGCAAAACGTTTGTAACACATTGAACACTTGTATGAACCTAGAGGAGTTAATCGCTTTGCCTTAGGTAACGCCGTTCGTCCGTGCTGAGACACATGATTCATCAATTCGCTTTGTTTCTGGAATTCTTGTCCACATTGTGGGCATGTGGACATTTGATTCTCAATTTTGATATTGTTAGAAGAATGAACGGCCATGTGCAAGTTAAGCAGGCATGCAGTCCTGAAAATCAATTTACACACGGAACATTTCCACTCCTTGTCGCACTTGTTCTGTCGCGAATTCTCCTTTTCTTTCATGTTCCTGTCGCGAAACATCTTTATACGTCGATTGTAAGAATTATTATCCAAACGTGGCCATGTAGATGTTTGATTTGCTTCTGCTAAAAATAAGGATTTAATTTGCGTTGATCAATATTTATTATAATGTATCAGAATATAATACATAATATCTATATTCTCTTAATACCTTTTTCATCTTTTATATCTGGTTTGAGAATTGATAAATTTCTGCGACTTGCATAGTCTGAACTAGGACCTGCTTTCAATTCTTCTTTTGGTGAGATGTTTCTATTAGTCAAAAACACTATTCCATCTTTCTGTTGACAAATTATTAGATTTTGTTCTTTATATGTCAGTGCAGGTCGCACAAAACGCATCCAATTTGAAGTATCTGAAAACATAAGGGGGGATTTAAATCCGAGAATCTTAATAAGAAATGAATAAACGCTATAGACATCACTTACTTTCGTTAGAAACATCTACTTTCAAGAATTCTCCATCCTGAGTTTCATAAAGCAGTGGCAAAGCATTTCTGAAGGGCGAGCCATCATAAGTGCACAATACACCTTCTATGGGCCCAAATTGTGTACGTCTTCGAATATTACGTTTCGCAAAAACTCCGTAGGTTACGTTATTTGCTGAACCATGCGATGTAGACAGCTTGTTTAACAAAAGATATGATCCTGGCAGTGTTGCTACAGCACGCGATGGTACAGGTTGATCCGCGATAGTGCATACATCGGTCAAATTAGAGCTATCGTCTTTGGCACAATTACTGTCATACTCGTCATCTCCCCCTGCAAAAATACCCAATATATAAAAAACTATATAAAGAAAAATAATATATAAAAGAGAGACTAAGGTCAAGAAATAAATGTATAATAAATAATATATAAATAATATATATAAATAACAAGAAATAATTGTATAATTTATATAAATATATTTATATAAATATTTATATAAATTATAAAGTAAAAAAACATTGCTTTTCTTTTACCTTATGATTTATGTAAAAAAATTATAAAATGTATATAAAAAAACTAATAATAAAGTAATAATATTTATCATTACATGCTTATAAAATAAATATTACACTTACAGAAATTTTTCTTATCTGTTATATGTCGTTTAGATCTCCTTACATCTTTCTTCTCAACTATTTTTTTTTTCTCAATGGACAATGGGTCTTCGGTAATTTGTTCAATTTCTTTATCACACTCTGACAAAGCAAGATTGTTGTTTTCTTTATTTGCATCTTCAGTAATAGGTAAAGCGATAGGGTTGTCCTCTATCTCCATGTTCTGATTTTTAAACGTGTTGATAACATTTATTTGATCATCCTGCATCACCAGGAAGTCTCTAGTTAGAGCAAAGTCTGTGCCTGGTATTCCTGTTAGCATCAAGGGAGTTGTTGAAGATTCCAACTCAGGTGCAGTTTCTGAAAGTGTTATGAAACAGTCAAAAAGTAATAAAAATATCATCTAACATGTATAATATATATTTTATTTAATAAAAACAAATTTTTACCCTGCATTAAAATTAATTCACTGCTGACGCTAGACACGAGTCCGTCTTCATTCCCATTGCCAACAAAGTCTGTGGTACCATCCGTTTGAGGTACAGTCTGAGTGTCGATCGGATGAGCCAACTGAGTCACATAATTGATGCTGGTTCGTATATTTGGTTCAGGCTGGGACATTAAAGGTGAGGTTGGCCCTTGCAGTACAACAACAGAGTTATGGAAGGGAGAGGAAGGTAGTTGGACCGGTGTGGGAGAATATCTAGCAGTAGAGCTCATATTTGGATCCAGTGGGCTGACTCGATGCTCAAATTCTGATAGGGGAGAAGCCGCTCTTGGAGAAAAGGAGATTTGCTCATATGTAGGAAACAGCCGAGATTGATCTTCCACATATTCCACCTAGCAACAGAGCGATCATGAAGATAGCTATTGACATACTCATCATAAAGATCTATACAATACAGACTTCCAAGGGAAGTCCTAAGGAATGTTCCCAGAAGATGTCGTACATCCTAAGAATGTTCCTAGATGAAGACATTCCTCTGATAAAGTATGTCATGTAGAAGAGTTACTTACAGTCAGGAATAGGAGCCTGTTGTTCAGCTTCTTCGGCTGTTCGCACAGCGACGAGGTAAAGGGATGATCTGTAGGCCAATTCACTGAGATGTCAGCCCCCCTGTCGATGCTAGATATCTCGAAGGACTCGGCAGGGGCCCCCTCAGGAGGGCCCCTTGAATCCATCTTACGTTGACGTATTGCACCAGCGGAGTCCGTGGTTTGATCGTCTGTGTCTATATTACAGTCACATTCGACCGTGGAGATTTGCACACGAGAATACGCGGAAGAAATTGACTAAAATTGATAGACCGTAAGGATAACACCAGGTCGCTCTAACCGCGACGCGCGACCCTTGATATTCCAGGAACGACACGGGCGGTCGACGACATCGCGCGCAAGGCAGGAAACAGGTGTTCGTTACACGGACCTCCGTTATTTTGAACTCACACGAGAAGACTTGCCAGCCTCAATATATAGGCTTCGAAGTCGATGTACCTCTCACTCGTTGATGATGCACATACTGCTGCAGCAACTGGCCCCCTGACAGTCGACGATGCCGATCTCGCATCGCGATTGATTAACGTCGAGACGGCGGGAAACTTTGAACATCGATCCACGAAACAGACTTTCAGATTGCGCGCTATTATTTTATAATTGTATAGATTTATTTATAAAAACCGTAAAATCTATTTGTAAAATCTGAAGTATATTACTAATTATCATCTAAATAAACGCGCAAAGTAAAAGAAAAAAATGTTTCTCTTTATTTATTATTAAGAAATATATAAAAAGAAGGCAGAATGCAAAATCATATAATCGTAATAAATTAAGATGACATCAAATAGCAGTCATTTTAGAAAAAATAATATAATTATCAATAAGTGACTTTTTTAACTAAAAAGTTAAAAAACATTTAAAATCATGTCAAAAATTCATTACAAAAATCATCATCAAAAGTATATCAAATAACATTATAATCTTTTTTTTAATGACTTCTATTTCATGTTATCTCGATTGTATTATAATTTTATGTTCTGCTTGGATATAATTGCAATTGAAATTAAAATACATTAAAGTTTTATTCGTGCAGTGAATCTATTATCTCTCTTAATGATACAATATTTAAAGATATAGAAAATATTTTCGTATTAAAAAATTTCAAGTAGAATTATGTATGTTATTAATTATTCTCGATATCATTAATTTAAAAAAAAATTAACAAAAATTCATAATATTTATTCATTATATAAGGATATCGGCATATCGCTTAATATTTGCATTTCTCCAGCGATTATCGCTCCCACTTTCGTCTAATGAATGGGAGTCGTTGGGACCCTTATATTCACTTGGGGAGGTCGAAGCTTTCCCTAACAACAAGGAAACAAACATAGATAAATAAGGGGTTGGCGCAGTTCACGAACAAAGTAATACGAAGTGGACATTTAAATTGATCATCATTTCAATTGTCTTTGATTGACAAGCATGGTGCTGTTTGAGGATGAAGTGAGGAAGCTGATGGACGAGATGATGAAAGTGACGATTTTCGAGCCGTCTGAGAAACGGCGAATGCTGGAAGATGAAAGAAAAACTTTCCTAGATCCGAATGTGGTAATGAACGCGAGGCATAGAATATTTCGTGAGCTGGCAAGTTCTCCAGCAAAATCTTCTGTCTTAGCAGAGGCTAGAAGGTATACACCTTCGAACTTTACATATATTTATAAAAGTGTAGTTTTATTTATAATATGTCTACTTATATAAACCTAGTATACATATAAAATCTATAAATTATCGCTAATAAAATTTGTGCTTATATTTTAAGCATATACTATACTGATATTATCGTACATTAGTAAAAGTTTTTCTCAGAATTTTTGTGCGAATTGGAACACTTTCAGAAATACTAAGAAAATCTACATTTTATTTCAGAATTTTTCATATATATTTTTCATATGTGAATTTTGAAATATTCTAACATTTCTACGATTTCTTCTTCTACAATTTAAAAAAAATAAATTACTAATAACTTAAATTTTTTCAGATTTTATAAGATTTCATCAGAGATTATAAAATGAAAAGTCTTAGAATATTTCATAGGATTTATGTAGTAAGAATTCTATATTCAAAATTTATAAAAGAATTTTAGAAAGATATAAACTTTCAGAATTTACATACAGAACAAAGAAAAGATTTTTTTGGCACTTATTCTAAAAAGTGATTCAATTTGTATAAAAAATTTGAGAAATTTTATGAAATTATTTTAAAATTCTGAAATTTATATGAAACTTTGAAAAAATTCTTATATAATTAAAATAAAATAATTAGGTAACTTGGCAAAAATAACGAAAAGGAAATGATAAAAACAGATTTCATCAATGTATTTACAGATTACTAACGCAAGAAAAAATGAAAGAACTACAGATGAAAAGGGAACAAGCTTTCATACAGAGAGAATTACGCAAATTTGAGCAAGATCTGCAAAAGTCTCGTCCTAAATTTTGCGGATTGTGCAGTAGAAAGAATATAGCTAGTTCGGATGATGAAAATTTTTGGAAAACATCCAGCAGAGTCAAGGTGAAGTTCAGCAATAAATTAGATATTTACTAAGACTAATTATCATGTACCTGCGAATATAAATGTTTAAATATCTACATTATATTAATAAGCTAAAAATTTATTAAATTTACAGAGAATTCTCATTAATAAAAGAAGAAACAAACAGATCAAGCAAAAGCCAATAGTCACTCAAAAGAAAAATAAAAAGCCAATCGCGGAAGTCTCTTCTATCGAATCGAAGGACAGCAAGCGATGTTCGACAAATGAGATCGAGATAGCGCCTTTTGGTAATATTAAGGTGACTATCAAAGATAAACCAAACTACGAATCGGAAGAGCAGCGATTAAATATTTTGAGATCATATTTCGAAGCTCTTCGAAAGAATGCGCGGGATAAACGTCGTCTTTACGAAATCATGACTCGTATCCAGACCATCTTGTCGCAAAGAAAACTGAAATCGTACATTCATATATGGAAGATGCATGTGAAGAAGGTAAAGGCTCAACGAGAACAAGCAGCGAAAAATCCTGACATACCGAAGATCGAGTTGCTCGTCGATACTATCAAAGAGGTACAGAAGGAGTTAAAGTCAAATCATAGAACAAAACCAAAGGATCCTCCCTCAAATTCGAGAGATCCCGAATCTCTGAAGAAGAAGTTTCCTCCCAAGCCGTTCATTGTTGAATCGCCGACACAATGTCGATTGAATGCTCAAAAAGAGATTATTCGCAAGCAGAGGATGAAATTGGCAGAACAGAACAAGATCATCGAGGAACTGAAGCTAAAGCAGGTGCAGGAAGCAATAATGAGATCCGGCGAAGAAACGATAAACGTAGCCAAGGAAACTCTGACCCACTGCGGTCAACAGACTAGAAGATCTTTGATTCAACTGATGAGACAAGCAGGCTACAGGTAGTCCTAATTATGAGCATCCTATTTTCATTTCATCAAAATGTAATTATGAATTTTTTTATCTCGAAGAATAAACTCCAGTAAATTCAATAAATTCTTGATTCTTGAACTACGATTCTCAGTCGAGTTTGCATAGAAAAAAGGGTTTTGCTGAAATATTTAAAAATTTAGCTAGATACAAATCTGAAAATAATTTTATTGAAAATCAAAGTATGTAAAACGTTCAAGCTGATTGCTAGTATGTTAAAACTTTTTATAGCATTGTCTATCATGAATTCTCTACAGAATTATTTTAATGGTTCAATAAAATTATTTTCAGATTTGTATCTAACTTTAGATACATACTCAATCAAATCATTCCTTCCATGCATCAATAGAAATTTCGAAATTCAACTAGAAAAAATAATAATTACTTCTTCTGAAATCATCTTTATGTTCCACGTAAAATATATCTCTCTTTTATGACGTCATTTGCATCAGATATGTGTATCTATTCATACGATGTGCGAATGTATTTTGAATAACTACGCTCTTTTATAACGAACGATGATGACGCAAAGCGCAAAGACGCTGGAAGCTCAGATCTTGCGGGCCAAATTAAAGTGGACCGTTGATTATATTACTTGTTTTATGTACTGCTCTTTCAACAGTATGTGAAGTAGAAAGTATCTTAAAGAGGAGATATTCAAAGTTTAGTCCTTTGTGTTATAGTAGATTAAATCGAATTATGCAAACATTCATTTAGCTTGGCGGATTCTTAATACGCTTTTCTTTAATTAATAGGGACAAATCTTTAATAGCACCAGTTCGGGTACCGAGCCCTCCTAAATTTCTAGCGAGAATGGAAGCGCGAGCGGAAGCGAGGAGAGACAGAATAAAGCTGCGCGAAGAAGCACGCCGGAAGAAACTAGAGGATGAGAAGAGGAAAGAAGAGGTTGCCAGAAGAGCGGAGGAACAAGAGAGGAAAAGATTGCAACAAGAGGTCAGATAATATGAGAGGTCAAAGTATATTAATATCGTATTGAGTGAATATAGTACACTTAAGCTCTCATAGCTTTCACCTTGTTAACAAAATTATCTCTTGCGAGGGATGTTTCCAATAAATATTATACCGTAATACTCTAGTTTACATTTAATGATATAATATCTCGTTTATTTTGTACTTCATTCTATAACATATAATAAAGTACTTAATCCTCTAATGCCTCTTACACGCTACATTTAGAAACATACCTGCGTTTAATCTAAGATTTTTATGTCCTCAGGCATCGCGCGAAGCGAGAAGAATGCGTGAGGAACGGGAGCGACAACGAGCGTACGAAGTAGAAAGATGTAAGAAACTAAATGCCATAGCGGAAGCATTTTATCGCAAATACTTATTGCGACGTTATATAACCGCGCTCATCGAAAAGAAGAATAATGATATGAAGAAAGCCGACGATTACTATAAGCGGTGCTTGCTGCGAAAAATATTCATGATGTGGAAGATGGAAACAGAACGTCAAAATAATGTTAAATTCGAGTTAGCTACATCGTTATACAATAGAAATTTATTGCGGTATGGATTGCAGAAGTGGAAAGAAATCTTGAAGGAGGAGAGAAGAAAGGAGCAAGTAGCGAGAGATTTTTGCGACATGAGATTACAGAATAAATATTTTAAAATGTGGAAGATAAAAATGATAGAATGCAAAGTAGAAGAATTGAAGCGTGAACATTTAGCCTTACAATACTACGAAAAAAAGTTGAAAATTAAGTATTTCAACATATGGAAAAGATATCCAGAAATGATACCGGTTATCTTGGAGAGAAAGCGACTAAGAAACATGTGGCGGGAAATCGTGCAAGAAATAATTCCAGACTTTGATCCTAGGCAAAGAGGTGTAATATTAGAAGACTAGAATAACAAATTTAGAAATAATTTAGATTTAATACTGTACGACAATCGTTGGCCTCGAATCTGAATGAGGTAAGTCTTAGTCCTAAGTACACGCAAGAATAATATTTTTTTATGTAAAATAAAATGTAAATCACATTACTATACATACGTATTTAAGTTTCTTTTTACTTGAACTTATTTTAGAGTGTATTTGTGTGTGTGTGTGTGTGTATGTGTGTGTGTATTCAATTAATACAATTTACTATATTACTCTTATATATTTACTATATTACGTACAATGGCGATTTTATCACAGTTACAATAAATATACAAATAGTACATTGCAATACATTAAGGATGACGAATGTAATAAGTCTCAATGCCTCATGATATGAACATGATTTTACGATGTCATGGAAGTAATATCTATTATACTTTTCTTGAATTATGAATCTTAGACATCAGGATACATCAAATGGTTGAAGATAATGTGCAATCGAACCGATGTTCTTGTCTTCTCATCCACTTGTATTAAGTGAATTTATTATTACGCTTAACGTTATGACAAATATTTTGGTCTTACCGTTCTCTAGTTTGCTTTCATTATCCTTTGTACAGAGTGTAATGTATACACCGAAATAAATTCAGTAATCTAGTTTATAAATAGAGGTGTGCGAATCAAGCATTTGATTGAATCAAATCGAATGGAATCTTTGATAATAAGTTCGAAAACAAATTGAACCAAATTTAAAATTTTTGCGTTAAATCAAATCAAATCTTTTTGAAAACTAATCGAATTTGAATCAAATTTTACATTAAAATGAAGCAAGTAAAATAGGCGAATTCGAAAACGAATCACCGATGATTCAGAATTTCGAACATGTTAGGTTTTGAATACCTGAACTCGAAAACGAATTAAATCAAGAGAGAGAATCTACTGTGATTCGATTTGATTCAAATTCGAACTACTCGCACATCTCTATAGATAACAATCCTAAGTTTTGCAGCAGAACAGTTGAGATACATTTAACATTCTATAGTCGGACTGATTTTTCATGTCCAATCGTCGCTCGTTCGATGTCGTGCCGATGTAGAGCAACCATAGGTGATATATAAGATAACAAAAGAGCACTAATCCCACAAAGAGGCTGTACAAAGCGGAGACGAAGCAAAGTGCGATGCTGAAACAATATACACATTATTACATATTGAACTCGGACGTTTGCAACAAACAGTTGCGCGACATGTTATCGATCGAACTTTTATATATCAGAAAAGAAATAAAAGATATTATTTATGTCAATACATCTCTCAGCAGGCCTGACAATTATCATCATCTTGTGATTATTAAACTTTATAGATCCCCTGTATCTTTCCAGTTTACTTCATTAAGTATTGATATCAGTGATATCATTCACACTTCCCGCTCGTGCTCATGATATACTTTTCATATATACTTTTCAATATATTTTTCATCTTGTGAAATAATTTCAACAAACTATATGCAATATATTTTGATATTTTCAGTATAAGATATAATGTAGATTAAATCAGTATAAATATTCAAAGTGTAATTAGAAAATACAATAAATACGTACTCTAATTGATGATATACGTCACTGCAGTCATCAGGTAGGAGTATAGTTCCAATGAGTATAAAAGGATGACAGACACTAGTCATAGTCAAATTGGAGCCATATATAAAAGCGATTGCGGAGAAGAATAAACAGCTCACATACCATCTTAAATTACTGGAACCTACGCAGCAATCGAGCCTGAAAAAGTAAGCCAAAGTAGTTAATAAGTTACATAAATCTAAAGAAAAAGATATTAAATAGTATTCAAGGTATACCATTTGCAATGATATTCCCTGTTGAGTATACAAGTCTGGCACAAGCGGCAGTGATGAGCCTTGGGTGGGATCCTTCTCCTGCATGTGGCGCAGAGTTCACCGCTACCGTCGCCCAGTTCCAGGACATCGACGACACCGGCATTTTCCTGTATCGAGGCATCCGCGTTCAGTTTGGTCTTGTAACCACACCACATGCCACCGACCACGCACACCATAAATACGAGATTCTCCTCGGGCAGGATCTCCAGCAGCGGCACGACGCTAATCTCGAACACCAGCATCATCATCAGCACGCTCGTGATAGTCCACATGAGGAAGAACTTGGTGCGCAGTAGAAACCTGAGGAAGTTGTGATGCAGGTAATAAACGAAGACCGGCGTAACCAGGAACACGGCGACTGTGCAGAGGAAGGCCTGGGCGGCGATCACTGCCAGGATCGGCACTACCACCAACGGCAGCATCGCGTCCACGGAGATCTGCTTGGCGCCCGCGCGCCAACCACACGGATTACGCAGTCTCTCGCAGACGGTCATGCTTCGTCGTCGGTGGTCTGGAAGCGGTGCTTTCACACTGGCATATATAACGCAGGAGGCGTAAACGCGACGGAACCTTTCGAGGTTAGATCGACTCCCGCGGATCGCGCCATTGACATCTTCCAACCAGACCGGCGACGGCGGCGATGGCGGCGCCGGCGGTGACAACACGGGGTTACGGCTTTCTCGATACCGTTGCGCGGGAAGCGCTAGTGATAGCCATTTGAAAGTATCAAATGCGTGAGGATATTCCGTTTGCGAACAAAACGAATACTTGGCAGTATCTTCGACCTGGCCGCGCTCGATTTCACCTAGAATCTCTGGAACAATCGCGCGAAACTGCATGTGGCGTTCGTCACGTCATTCGGATGGAAATAAAACTCCGCGTCGTTGCGGATCGTGGTGACGACGTGAACGTCTCTCTCGTCCTCCTTCCGAATCTCGAATATCTCGCGCGAGATTCTCGCGGCGGCGCTGCACTCCGGAATTGCAGCGATGGAGTCGATGTGTGCTGTCATCCTGGTGCATGATTGACAGCTAACCATAAACAAACGGCGAGCCAACTGGAGCCGACCTCGATGCGGCTTGTAACGTCGTATTGAGGTACGTAGGTGTGATTGGCGGCAACGAATATCCCGTGACTGATCTTTAGTGTTTACCTGACCGTCCAGCGAAGACCTTCCCTGCCAAGTCCGTGATTTTTTTAGATACGAGTCACATACATTTTCTCGAAGCGAAATGAAAATATAAAGGTTCTTGAGAAAAAGGGACAAATTGCAAAACAATTGAAAAAAACAAAATACATTGATTGAATTTTATATATATATATATATATATATATTATAGGTCTACTTTTACTGTGTTCTTCGTACACTTATATCCATGTCCATCAATCCATGTCCTGCTGAGTGTGAAACAAAATAGAATCATAATCATCTGCAGTGCACAAAGAATAGAATGGAAATGGGCGAGACAGGATTGTGTTTCAACTTTCTCTTTTCTAACACACGCTGTGCTTAAAGTAAGATTCATAGTTTCTTAAAGAACAATCCTAGTAGCCACTTTAGAAATAAATATAGAAGTATAAGTATAAGAATGTAGCGCTAAAAACACAGAATTGATAAAGACTAATTTTTTAAAGAATTTTTTTTTAAGAATAAAATCATTGTGTTTCTTTTTAAATATGTTTTCAATACTTCAAATATACTTTAAACGTGATAAAAAAATATGTTTAAAATATATTAAAAACATCAATTAAGCTTATTTTAAATTTATTAATGTTTAAAACATGTTTTTTTACTAATCCTGGATAAAAATTGGATATTATTCGTATTTAACAGAAGAAACAATTTTGTATGTATCTGTTGTAAGATTCTTTGATATCAATGATTTAGAGTAATTTAGATATTTAGATTCAATGGAGTACTAAAGATAAGACTCAATCATATTAAAGTCTTATACTAGAGATGTAAAAAAATCATTTTAACAGAAAAAAAATGAAACAAAATATGTTTTTTCATTAAAAAAATACAATTTGATTATTTATATTATCTCTTGCAGCATACTTAAGTCTGAAATTTCTGAGACTATCGGAATTCAGAATAAGAGGAAAATAAATAGATAAAGATGTGATGTCAAGGATGAAATTTTAGATTCTTCTATATTGAATTTCAGAGGATAATTATGTGATTGAAGTATTAATTAAAAATAATAACTAAGAACTCTCTACTTATAATAATTGCAAAACTATATTTTCTGCTGAACGCAGTCATTCATAAGAAATGCTTGTGTTAGCTGTACATTTTTGTATTTTTCACATCTAAAATGAGATTGGTACGTCTAGGTTTCGAAAGATAGACAGAAGACTAAAATAAAGTAAATAATGGAATATGTTTGAAACGAGTGGATCTTTAAAAGGAATCTAGAAACGAGGATTCGAGCCGATGTCGCACAAATCGGGTGGCAGAAACATAAGAAAGACAAGAAATGAGTGGTCTAATGGATGTTCTTAATTGTCAATTTTACAAGACGGGAATAACGAAGGTCAACTGTTATCGTTATCGTCGTCGACGCCGATTCACTGTTTATCGACGTCACACACTGATCACGAAAACTCCGCGAGGCGATAAAGTAATTATAGAACACGAGAAAAAGAAAATAAGGCTTGTCGCTTACTTGCAAAACCATATGCTAAGAATTGATGCGATCCAAACGAGCCAATCCGGATTCGATATTGCGAACGCGCGAAAACTTTATTCGTAACAATGGAGAAGCGAAATTTATTTGACGTAAGATTTATATTTTCATTCTAAACAAACATGGGTGTAAATGTAACATCATGAGGGTTGGGTGTTTATAAATCTTACTGTGTTGATCAGCATTAAATACTAAAATCCCTTAAAAATCCCGAAAAAAATTTTTATGAAAAATTACATAGATTGAGGCAAGATTAAAAAAATTCTTAATTTTTCGTAGATATTTGTAATAGGATGTAAAGTGTTGTTTGAAGTCAGATTTTTTATTTTTTTAACAAACAATGCCACTCTACGTCCACTCAGTCAGAAATGATAATGGAATCGATAATCGAATCAATGTCGATTCGACAAAAGCAAATCGACGTCGAATCGATGTCGATTTCATTATCATTTCTGACTGGGCAACTACGAATTATTTACGAAAAATTAAGAATTTTCTCATCTTGTCTCATCTATGCAGTTTTTCATAAAAATTTATCTGGGATAGAGAGTATTATTTAATAATTATATTATTTTATTATATTAATAATTATATTA